GTTGTGCGCTGGGAGGCGCGCGTGTGTAAGGGCCTCGCGGCGCCGATGGCTTTGCGGCCCGTCGGGGCCTGGGGAGTGTCAAAGGGTCTCTTGATTCACTGGCCGTAAGTGTTACACACGCGTCGCGTCGATGTGACGTGCGTTACCCAGCCTGCTGAGTTGTCTGGCTGAAGTCTTCAAGTTCCTGATGTGGGCTGGCTGAGTGCGTTACAGCCGTTCTCATATCGTGCGCCCGAGCTGAGTGTTACGTTAACCTCCTGATTTGGGCTGGCCCTGAGTGGGTACCCGGTGTCGATGATGTGGCTGAGCTGAGGGTTACGTTACGCTCGCTGATTGCTGGAGCCGTTTATCGTGTGGACAGCGCTCCTTATTGGCTGGCTGATTGTTACAAGCCCTCCTTGCATTCGTTGATGGGCTGGGTTCAAAGGCTTCTCTGATTGGGCTGCTGAGCTGGTTACAGCATTTCGATTGGCCTGGGTCCGTCATTGGCATGCGCGCTTTCTTCGAGTTGCCCTGAGTGGACGCATCGGTTTTTGGCTGGGGCTGATGTTAACCTCGCTGCTCGGCTGGTTGAGTGTTGACATACGTCCTCGCCGCCTATGATTTGGTTGGCTGAGTTAGAAGCTCTCCTGATTGGCTGGGCTGGACTGGGTTAGACGCCTCCTGATTGGCTGCCCTTGGGGGGCTGGGAACGCACCTAGCGTTGTATTAGCCTGGCGGGTTTTAACAACTCGTGATTGTTGCTGGTGAGCTGGGCGTTGATGCGCCTTCTGCATTTGCTGGCGCCTGTGGTGTCAGGACGGCTCTCTGATGTCGGCGTGGTAGCAGGTTCAGAAGGTGCTCGCTGCATTCACTGCGGCTGAGGTGTGTACAGTGCGTCGCTGATGTGTCGGGGCGAGTGTGTACAGAATTTTACTCCTGATTTCACCTGGCTGAGTGTGACCACGCCTCGCTGGACTTGGGTGGCCTGGAGTGTTACACGCGTCCTGATTTTGCTGGCTGAGCAGTGGTTAGACGGACCGCTCCTTGATTGCTTGCGCTGAGTGTGAAGACGCCGTACGTTTATAGCTGGCATGGAGTTTTACACAACTGCGGTGATTTGCTGGCTGAGTGTTGAAATGCCTTCTGATTTCCCTGGGCTGGTGTCGCAAAGGCTCTGATTTCGCTGGTTAAGTGGTCAGAACGGTTCTGCATTCACTGGACTAGAATTGGGTTCATGCTCGCTGATTTGTCGTCTGGAGGTGCTCATGCGCTCCTGATTCGCTGGCTGGAGCGTGTGACAGCCTCCTGATTGGGTGCTGAACGTGCTTACCGCGGCCCTGCTGATTTGCTGGCTGAGTTCAGAAAGGGCCCTCCTTGTATGACCGGTTTCCTGACTGTGCCCTGGGGCTGAGTCGTTACTGTCTGCTGATTGTGGCTGTGTGTGCTATCGCCGCCCTCGCCCTTGGCATGATTGGCTTGCTACCGGCAGTTTCAAAGCGGCCTTGTGATTTGGCTGCCATTAGCTGTGACTGGACGCCTCTTATTGGCTGGTCTGCGTGTTGTGGGGTCCACTTGTGACTGGCCTGGCTGAATGTTGTAAGATGCTCTTCTGATTATGCGTGGGCTGGGTTGAAAAAAGGGCCTCCCTTCGATTGGCGGCTGGTGCGGGTCAAAGTTGGCTGGAGTGTGGTATTGCCGTCACGTACTGTGCTTAGTTATACCTCGCTGATTGGGTTGCCTTAGTGCTGACGACGCTCCTGTATTGGGCCCTGGCCTGGGAGCTGTGCGAGCTCCTTATTGGGCGTGGAGGTGGCAGTTTACCAAGCCTCCTGATTCGTGATGGGCCTGAGTGTGAAACGGGCCTCCCTGATTTGGCTGCCGTGCAGTTTGGACAAAGACTGCTCCTGAGTTGGCTGCTTCGGATTGCTGACACGCCCTTATGGCTGGCTGGCTGGGCTGGCTGAGTGTTAAATGCCTTCTGATTGCTGGCTGCAGTGTACAGGTCTCCTGATTCGACTGACCAGTCGTACATGCCTCGCTGATTGTGCTGGCGGCTGAGCTGTCAAAGCCTCTCATTGACGCGCTCCTAAGGTTCTGATTGGATGGCTGAGTGTCAACGGCCTACTTATTTACACGCCTCCTGATTGGCTGCCTGAGTGTGACACGCCTCCTGATTGGCTGGCTGACTGTTGTCATCAGACAAAATACAAAAACCTTTGGCTGGACATGGAATGGGATAATATTTTGTTGAAAGCTCTATTTCAGGAGATTATAATTCATGTCTTGTGCGCCTATATTCTTTTAATATTTCTAGCACATTTTTCCAATTCAATTTTATTTGTATGGTTCCAAATCACACAGAGAGTGACAGATAGAATTAAAACTGCAAGCAGTGATGATCGGCCTTCGCACTTGGTGCACGTTGGGGTGTGCTGCCGTCGGGTCTCGCAGCAGTACATCATGACAAACACCAAGCCACAAATTTCACAGAAATCACATCACAATTGCCACACAAAGCTTACTTCCTGTTGCCAGTAGTTGACGCTATGACGGCGACTGAATATTGGCACTTAGCCAGTCGTGTCAAGGCAGATTTTTTTAAGACGCAGTTCAATGAATATTTATGAGGAGCACAATTTTAAATTCTGGAGGTGTTTAGAATGTGCTCATCAAATTTGGAGTTGTTCTGAAAAATTCACTAGGAGGAGTTTGTTAAAATAAAAGCCCTGAAATTGCTGGAAATGCGACAGTTTGACTTTTCATTCAATTAAAAATGGCCAGAGTTATTATCAACTTGCATAAATAGCAGCTCATAGCAGTTGAAGCACTGAAGGGTCTATTAAACTTTTCAACTTTTTGATTTTTCACCAACACAACACAACATTTCCACAAGCTCTGGATGCAGAGAAAAAGTATTTGCCAACCACAGCAGATACCCATTTTCAGTGCTAAGCAGTAGTGCCCCTGACTTGCCAAGGTGCAGTATCAAACACATCTGATAAGTTTTGAATATGGGAAGATGATGAAAGGGTGTCATTGCAAAAGTAACTCTTGCTAGTTAGTTAGGCTGCTTGCATGCTGGGGGCGGATCCAAAAGCGTTTTTTTTACCTCCCTGTGAGACTCTTAACAGGTGAGAAAAGAAACAGCTACCTCAACTCCTGTGTGTACTGGAGGGCAGAAATGGCTTTCAGCACCCTCCCTAGTCTTATAAACAGGACCTTGGTGACACACTTAAGAAGCTTAAATCACATTCAACAGGCATTGTTACCAAGAAACATAATGTGGCTTCCTCTACCACATTAAATAAATATAATCTTTATTTCTGTTTACACATTTTAGAAGGTTAGTTCCATAAAGTTTACTATCAAGAACAACAGAAAAGTTGCTAAACAACAAGACACATTAATTTACATATTAACTTTTCATTTAACAGCCCAGCTTAGCTCTGCTTTGCTGTGACCAACAACAAATCCATTTCAGAGAAACTCATGTTTTGTCTAGGGTTAGACTAATGTATTGGTCAGCTAATATGTATCAGGCTGAAATGCTACTAGATCATACATATCATCATACATACAGTGTCATACATACATACATGCCAACCAAATTTAATACGATGGGGACTTGTCAATATCTTTTTAAAATATTTTTGTCACCCTGTCATGAACATAGTGAAAAAAAGTGTGGGTATAAAATCGTAGCATCAAGTAGCATCAATACAAAGATACTCTGTGTCATCTGAAGCCTGACTGGTCTTAATGGTTCTCACTGTTGTGTACTTAGATAATTTATTAATTTGTTTGTATATAAATAAACCACCAGCGTAAAAACAATGGGCCAGTTATTTTATAGGACTGAAAGACCCTTTCTTTTCCCACAACTGAAGTGAGAATATAGGCAAACAGTTGAACTATGCAGAATATGTTAGTACCACTATTGTGTGTATGTCTATGTAGAGAACAGGGGGCCAGTAGAAGCAGCAGTGAAGACAGGGCCAGTATAGAGTCCTGGTCCATCAACAGGAACCTAGGAACAACATAAAACACATATAAACAGGCATAGAATCTATTGAGTATTTTACAACAAGCAGATTTTAAAAATGTACCCCAGGCTGAAAATGATAAGCAATAAAAAAATCTGTGTAAAGCCATGAGGATGTATACTAAACGACTTAATAGTTTTTTACTACAGCTTTTTCAGATTTAAAAAAAAAAAGAGTCACAGTTAATTAGCTTCTGTTGTTACTTCAACAGTTTGAGCAGGTAGTGTAATAGACAGTAAGTAACACAATGACATTCCTGATGGAGATTTATAACTCAGCATTAGGACAGAACAGACATTGTTCATATTTATTGTGTTACTGATTCATCTTTTTATCACAGTTTAAATAATGTTATCTTGAATAAAAGCCAACCAGGTTGGAATTATTTTTATTTTTTATTTTTAAAATATAACATACTAAAAGCCAGCAGCAGTTTCCAAAGTGGGTCAAAGGGTGCCACGTGATGTACATTTCATTGCTTATTAATTGTGCATTTCTGAATTTTAGTACCACATTTTATTTCGACATCTTTTATCAAAAGAGATAAACAATATTAAAATATCAAAGTTTCACTCTGCTATATATGCAGGTATGCTAGGGCTAATGACATGTCACCTCATGGCTGCTGGTTGTCATAGAAACACAGGATGCTTTGCCTCACTGAGTCTTCCATGTGTGTAAAAGTCAGAAATAACAACTGATTTTTCATGGACACGATACAAATTGATGCAGCAGAACCAGAGATGCATCGTCTTTTATATTCTATAGATTCTTCCTAGATATAACCTGGTGCCTAGATTACCTGCAATGCAACTTGACTGCCATCAGTTCTGTCAGATATTTTGGTATGTTTAGCTAATAATGTAGCCTAGAGACTGTAGCCTGAAGCAGAGGTGAAAAATGGGCTACAAAATCCACTTCTTTCTAACTCCACATCCCCAGACGACAAGCTTGTAGTCTTCAGACCCAACAGATGCTGACTCATTTGACATCACCTAAAGCAATTTATCAGATTTGAAGCAGCTCACTTTGGAGCCACACAAGGCTTTGTACGTAAGACTTTTTCACACATACAGTTGTACTCCCAGAGACCTGCTGCCTTGTTGTAAATGTTATTCATGACTTTACGGAGATGGTATCATTGAGCAGTATTCAATGTACTTATTTTCTGTGTATGTATGTATTTTAATGCTAGCTTCTACGGACCTGACCCATGGTCAATAGCCAAACAGACACAAAAAATATATTCCCTCTTTGTTGGTGTTAGAGAAACAACTGCTTCTATTATTTTTAATATTACCTCTCCCAGAGCCTGCAGGGCAACTGTAGCTGCCATGGCCTTGGCATGTTTCTTATTGGGACTAGCTGTCTGTGGTTGGTAGTCCACACCATTCACCGTGACCTGGAGACGACAAAACATATGGATGATTAAATGTCATAATTTAACCATCAAAGGATGCAATAAATAACAACAGCATTGCAATGAAAGCCGACTTTGGAATAGGGGAGGGAAGCAAAACTCATTAATTCATTTAAAAAAAACTTTTTATCTCACTGATGCTGTTTTGAAACTGTTGGCAATGTGAACTGTGTTGAGTTTTCAATCATACACAGTAAGTGTATGTATCCCACAGTATTTAGGGGTGATATGGGGCATTATAAAAAGAGCCTAATCTGAGTTAAATCAAATTGACTTCAAACACATTCACAGCATTTGAAAAATGCACTCCAAAAATAAACTTGGTCATTTGTAGTATTTTGTCAGTGTGAAGTCAGGTGGTCAGGTCCTCAGATTTACACAGAGGCTGTTGATTGGGGGTCAATGGATACTTTCTGTTGTCTCTACTATATGCAAATAAAGCACCTCTGTATCAGCATGTTTTATGTCTAGTTGTCCCACAGGCCGCAGATACAAAAAAGCAGGCTCACTCACATAAGAACGCTGCATCAGAGTATAATATATCATCACAAATGCACTCATTAATTACAGCTACATGCATTATTGATTAAAATATTATTGGGCAGAGAATCAAAGCTCTTTTGTATGTCAATACCTCTGTTTATGACCAAAAACCTCAAAACTAATTAGATGTATATCAGCCTTAACTGTTCTTTGTGTTTAGAACAAATTAAAAATATTAGCATACTACCACACTAACCTTAAATGTTGAACATGATAAACATTTTATCTGCTTAGCATTACCGTGTTGTTTTTGTAATTGTGTTATCATGCAACATCAGCTCAAAGCAATGCTGTGGCTCAGCAAATAACTGTAAACTCTTAATCTTGTTGTCAGATGAAGGAAGAAATTAAGGTTAAACAAAATTTAAGATTTGAGAATTTCTTCGATCTGATATCATAGAACTCAGAAAAGATGCGTCAGCTTTTGGAAGTGTGTGAAAACCTCAAAGGTCGAGCATGCAACAATCTCATGAAAAGGGTGACCCACCTTGAACAGGAAATTCTTGCGATGGTCAGGACCACTGTGATGAACCATGACAAAGTCTGGCTGCATTATCCGTCTCTTGTTGCACAACTCGATGAGAGCAGACACCGGGTGCTTTCCTACATATTGATAAAAGGGCACACAAATATGAACAGAGCCAAGGACTATCTGAAGAAGCTGAATTTGAAAGCAAGAATTTTACAAAATGAACAGTGTCCTAAACAGCAGTAGCAATTGATTTAAAGTTTAAGCCCCCCCCACTGATGTAAGCTCTCTTGTGAGGCAGTAAATTTGATTATAAAATATTCTAGATTATATTAGCCCGCAGAAATGATCTCTATGATCAACTCCCACAATCTATTGTTAGATTTATTCCTTTTATTATATGAGGTGTCTCAGGCAGTCCACCCAGTTTCTATCCATACTTGTTCATTTTTTTAAGTTTTTTTGCTCAGGTCGTCACAGGTTGCTTATTTGCAACAGGAAGTAAACAAAATGCACCTTTGATCATTTTCTTGTGTCAAATATTTTAAATTAATAACAAAACTGGTTTTAATTACCTGTATGATATGCAATTTTTTATATACCTCCAGCTGAAACAATTGCTGTAACTCTTCAATAGACAGCAGTACTGTTTGGTGAGAGGAGCACTACATTTGGGGCAATCTGTGTAGTGTGCATGCAGAAGGGAGCCTTGTGAGCATGAGCCTAAACTGCATACCCTTATTACAAATCATTATAACACAACAATTAATAACCCACAACTAACTCAGGTTAACTGTTAACAGGGAAAAACACCACGGCACTCAACAACTTATGACAATTTGAGTATTTAATTTCAGTCTGTAGTGTTTATACAACTATCTTGAAATATCTTTTTAAGTTTGTTGCAGTTCAGACAGTAAAAATTGTTTACATTCTGCTACTGTGCAACTGTTCTGTTTTTTTTGTGAAAACCCTATAGTAATCAAAGCTTTCAGTATATACATGATGACATCAAAATGTTTTTTATATTCTATGTACTCCAGTAGAATAAGCCACTATCAACCTTAATATAAAGGCCCAATTAATAAAAACAAACAAACAACAAGATATACTATGAAACTGCCAGAATCTTAAAAAATACAGTGGTACACATTTTTGGTCATACCAAACCAGGACTAATCACTCTATACATTTGTTTTAATTGATGGTGGTGGAGTCTGCTATCCCCATCCTGGATTCAGATTGCTTACAAAAGGTATACACAGGAAACCGACAGAAGCATTAAAGTTGTTGAATAAGGCTTCCAGTAAGGCTGCAGAGACAGAGGACAGGATGCCACTGTGGATACAAATGTAACACCGATGTAACACCGAAGATGGCGGGCCCCAGCTGATAGATTGCTGATCCGAACAAGCACCTCTCCACTGACATTTTTTTCTTTTACTTTTCATTAACTTTTTCTACTCAAAAACCAGTGGTCCAAGAACCGGCTACAGGCTCAATGATGCATATTAGGAGTGAAAGCTGGCCTGTGTCCGATCTAACAGACGTGCTACTGTAGCTCAAATTGCTGAAAATGTTAATGCTGGCTCTTATTGAAAGGTGTCAGACAAGGTGCCCAGGTGGTCATAATGTTATGGCTAATCTGTGTATGGTATATTATAATATATTGAATCGTATTGATACACACTGAATCGTCATATTCCTGCTAATACACAGGCCTAACACTCCATTTGGTAATTTTTCATTAATTTCTTACAAATCTGATTCCATTCAATAAGTTATTCCTCTTGCCTGTCTACCAATCATAATTTGAAAACACATTGGTCTCAGTATCTACACATAAAAAACACACAGAAAAAAAGGGAAAAGTCAGGGGAAATACATGTATGTGTATACACATATGCATATGTATGTATATATATCTATATTTATATGTAACCAGAACCATAGTCAATTTGGCTGACTGGAAAGCTTAGACTACCGGTAATGTTGATTCAATGAGCCGAACTGTATTCATGAGTAATGATGTTAGTCCCCATAATATTACCATGGTGACAACTTTGCTAGAATCTTGTTTTAATTTGTTATTATTAGTGAAGCAGGTATTACTTATGATTACTCATGTGAGAAATACACTCATCAACGTCAGGAGACATTGAGATGATCACTGCACATGGAATCACCCAGCCAGAATAGACAGATGCAAGCAGTGCAATCGCTCCAGACAGAAAAAAAGAGAGCCAGGATAAGAGCTAAGCTAACCCAGCTTGGACCTAAGGCTATTCCAATACACAGCCTACACCTGGCTAATGTACAGTTGCAATATAAGAAAATGGATGAAATAAGAGTCAAGCTAGGTCAGCACCGGGAAATCAGAGACTTGCACCACAACATCCCAGATAAAGCTATTGAACTCAATTAGGCGAAGTGTGTTGCTTGCTGACTGAACACAAGATTCCAGCAAGACAGAATGGATTGACAATGTTTAGCAGATGTGGATTTTTTATTAACTAGTGCAGTGCCCATAGGAAGTATGTATTG